CTTTCAGTTTTAATTCACTCACTAGTTGAGCATTATGCATTTCACATGCTACATGTCCAGTCATTGCATCTCCTTGTGCCCTCTCTCATGATTTTCCTCCAGTTTTTTGTAAATAGATTTGCTGCCACAACAGCGTTTTTGCTTTGTTAAAATAAAAGTCATTTTTAGACAGTGCCCTGTGGTGGCCATCTTGCATTTGGCTAACTCTAAAAGGTTCATTAAAACCCATTTGATGATTCGTAAGGTATTGTGTTATAACACAGGATTGACTCCAAATAAAACCAGAACTAAGGTCAAAATATTTAAAACTGACTGAAATATGACCAGTTTTATGCTTTTTTTCCAGTTGTTTGTGGGGATATTTTGAATCAGATTGACTCTAAGGGTTAATCAGTTGTAGATGTACATCCACTAATTCATTACTGCAAGTTTAGTTCAAATTTATTGTGGTGTTGAGATATTTTACTAACATAACTGACACACACACAAACAAAAACATCACAGTCCACATTTGCATTTTGTTGGTTTGGTATATAACAATAACCTTAGGTCAGTCACTATATTACAAATATTTATATTATTATGTACTGTATATGCTTACTGCTTTAATTAGGCACTTTTTAATTACACCAGCTATTAGACTGCAGTTTTTTGCTTGTGAAAGATTTTTTATTTATCCTTTTTTTTAAGAGAACAAAGCAAATAAACAAGAAATCACCATCTGGCACTGTCAGTTGTGACAGTTTCTGTGTATCCCGAGTTTGCTTGTTATTTTAATAAATCAGACTACTGCTTTGAAAGAAAAAGTCTCCAATATCGCTCTGCACTGACACTCACTTTCTTTACGTCTGAGGTCAGTGTCTTGTTGACGAACGGCTTCAGCCGAGGCCAATGCAAGGGAGAACAGCAGGTGTCCCTAGATGAGTAAAATGTTGGACATACTGCTCATCACTCTGTCTTTATGCACACATTAAAAACAACTACCACGGCCACCGGGGATAATCACAACCCCCTCTGTTTCTCAGTTAAATGACACCCTGGAGGAAGGCATAATCTACTCCAGCTGATGTGTCTCAAACATTAAAAGCTCGACCTAGTGCACGGTGGTGGTTTTCTTGTTCGCCTCTGCAGAATGGTCTTTTGATTGTGTGATGCATCCCCCCCGTGAGAAGAGTTGCTATTTGCACTGCRTGGTAAAGAAAATAATACATGATGAGCAGAGGCTATTACTCGGCAGACAGAGAGCCTCCAGCTTTTTAATAATACTCAGAAGCTCCGGGTGATGGTGGTGGTGGTGATGGCTGAGAACGGGAAACTGAACGTACATTTGTAGCTGTGGTTTTGTACCTGTCGATGGATGAAGACCACAGACCCCAGAAGRCGCCAGGTCCCTCCCTGCCTGTCAACGTGGAGCATACGCAGAATCTGCAGAAAGCGAATCCCTCTGGAAAATTAAAAAAAAAGTTTTTTTCATCATGTTGTGCTCACACCAAACGCAAGAAGACACATGCACATGCAATAAGATCAAATGATATTGAAGAAATTTAAAGTTATTATAGGTTAGTACTGATGTTAGAAGCACAATACTATATTCTTAGGTTTTCCTTTTTATAATGTTGACAATGTTTAATCTATTATGTTTTGATTGATATAGATTAGTTACATGTCCGAATTATAACAACACATAATTAAAACGTTATGATAACAGTAGATGAGGTTTTTAGTCTGAATGCCTGTGATTCAGCCGTAGGTCAGTAGGGGGCGAACGCAGGCATTGAAGAACCATGTATAAATTGATGAACTTCCTGGTTTTTCCCCAGTATGGTTTCCTGTCAGCTCCAGTGGCAATAAACCTCACTCGGTTCCAGAATTCTGGTGTTGTATGGTTTGATTCCTTCTACAAATCATTTTATTTAACAATGGTGGTTTTAATATCAACGTCAGTTTATTGAATAGGTATTTTTCTTACAGTTTGGTCATCTAATATTATAAGGCAGTTAAATTCAGAAGTAATTAATTTTTTTTAGGTTAGGGATCAGTGCACAGCAGATTACACAATTAAACAGAAATCTACAAAAGCTTAGCCCTAGTTGTCGTCAGCCCACACAGTACAGGTGCTGGTCATAAAATTAGAATATCATGAAAAAGTAGATTTATTTCAGTAATTCCATTTAAAAAGTGAAACTTGTATATTATATTCAWATATTACATTCAAAATCATATATTTCAAATGTTTATTTCGTTTAATTTTGATGATTATAAATGACAACAAATGAAAATCTCAAATTCAGCATATCAGAAAATTAGAATATTACTGAAGACCAATAAAAACAAAGGATTTATAGAAATGTTGGCCAACTGAAAAGTATGAACATGAAAAGTATGAGCATGTACAGCACTCAGTATTTAGTTGGGGCTCCTTTGGCCTGTATTACTGCAGCAATGCGGCGTGGCATGGAGTCGATCAGTCTGTGGCACTGCTCAGGTGTTATGATAGCCCAGGTTGCTCTAATAGTGGCTTTTAGCTCTTCTGAATTGTTGGGTCTGGTGTATTGCATCTTCTTCTTCACAATACCCCATAGATTTTCTATGGGGTTAAGGTCAGGAGAGTTTGCTGGCCAATTAAGAACAGGGATACCATGGTCCTTCAAACAGGTACTGGTAGCTTTGGCACTGTGTGCAGGTGCCAAGTCCTGTTGGAAAATGAAATCTGCATCTCCAAAAAGTTGGTCAGCAGCAGGAAGCATGAAGTGCTCTAAAACTTCCTGGTATGTGGCTGCGTTGACCCTGGACCTCAGAAAACACAATGGACCAACACCAGCAGATGACATGGCACCCCAAACTATCACTGACTGTGGAAACTTTACACTGGACTTCAAGCAACGTGGATGAAGTGCCTCTCTTCTTTTCCTCCAGACTCTGGGACCTTGATTTCCAAAGGAAATGCAAAATTTACTTTCATCAGAGAACATGACTTTGGACCACTCACCAGCAGTCCAGTCCTGTTTCTCTGTAGCCCAGGCAAGACGCTTCTGACGCTGTCTGTGGTTCAAGAGTGGCTTGACACAAGGAATGCGACAGCAGAAACCCATGTCTTTCATACGTCTGTGTGTGGTGGTTCTTGAAGCACTCACTCCAGCTGCAGTCCACTCTTTGTGAATCTCCCCCACATTTTTGAATGGGTTTTGTTTCACAATCCTCTCCAGAGTGCGGTTATCTCTCTTGCTTGTACATTTTTTTCGACCACATCTTTTCCTTCCCTTCGCCTCTCTATTAATGTGCTTGGACACAGAGCTCTGTGAACAGCCAGCCTCTTTAGCGTGACCTTTTGTGTCTTGCCCTCCTTGTGCAAGGTGTCGATGGTCGTCTTTTGGACAACTGTCAAGTCAGCAGTCTTCCCCATGATTGTGTAGCCTATAGAACTAGACTGAAAGACCATTTAAAGGCCTTTGCAGGTGGTTTGAGTTAATTAGCTGATTAGAGTGTGGTACCAGGTGCCATCCATTTTGAACCTTTTCACAAGATTCTAATTTTCTGATATGCTGAATTTGAGATTTTCATTTGTTGTCATTTGTAATCATCAAAATTAAACAAAATAAACATTTGAAATATATGAGTTTGTATGTAATGTATGAATATAATATACAAGTTTCACTTTTTAAATGGAATTACTGAAATAAATCTACTTTTTCATGATATTCTAATTTTATGACCAGCACCTGTATGTCTTACCTTACAGCAGACGTTGCAAAGACCTGGCCTTTGGAACCCACTGACAGCACAATTATGGAGGCAACAACTACAATCAGATCTGTGGTAAAACAGAAGATGAGTTTCAGTTTTACTATGGCGTACAGTTAGTGTGAACACGAATGACTTGAATAGATTAAGACCCACGAGTGCCCATCAATGCTGCAAGAATACATGCATGAAGACACAAGGAAGTAAAGTTAAGAAACTATCCATTTTTTCCAGATCAATTAAATTAATTAGTTTAGGTGAAAAGGGTTACACACAGTGTATTACAATAATATTTATTGCTTAATATTTAAAATGAAATATGCCTGGAGGCCTCATTTTTATGAATATAAACTGGAGGTGAGAAAATATTGCAGTGACGGTTTTAATTTCATGCTGAATTTGTCCTAAATATCTCATTTTGAGATGAGGCTCGGGGTATATTGCAGTTATTGTTTAAAAAAATGGTGTGCGTGGGTGGATGGTGACACGTCTGCTTGTGTGCATGAGCAGAGATATACGTGTGCATGGGGATTGTGTTTCCACCTATAATAGATATTGGCTTCCTGGCAAAGCGTAGTCGTCCCCAGATGCCAACATATTTACTGCGGCAGCCTGCTGACCAAAGACGGACACAATATTCCACTCCAAAGAACACCACAAGGACGATCTCCTGTTAGACAAATGAGGCAGAGGGACAGAGGGATCGAAAAACAAACATCAGATGTTGCTGCAGGTTGTTTCGGCGCGACAGCACCTGAACAGCTGTTCTGATTTGTGCCAACTTTTCTTTTAAACAAATAGAGTTAAATCAAAATAAAAGCCACTCTGCAGAGCTCCTTACACTTGCCTAATCACGTCAACACGATTCATTAAGGGGTATTGATTCTCCCTCAGCAGTAACATGCCTTGTTGGTGTTTCATTCAYGCCACTTTATTGATGAGTTCTTTGATTCTGCCGCTAAACATACTTGAGCCTGATTAATGTGTGATCCTGATGCACTGTTGGATGGTATTTATTTGTGTTTTGTTATTTCTAATGAGGAACTAGTATTTTTTTTTTCAGCAAAATAAAAATACCAAATGTGGCTTTTGTGGATAACAGGCTGCCATGGCTATTAAAAATGTACAAACTTTGGATTTAAGTAGAGTCAAAATCTATATAGGCTTAGCATCCCTTTAATGCGTATTGCCACAGGTCATGCCAGTGTTTTTTTAGACTAACATCTTGTGCATTACAGCCATTTTGGTGAACATGAAATTAATTTCATACACAACCTCATATGCTATTCCACGTGTTCACATTCAAAGTATCAATTAATCTTAACTACTACCACCTCAAACATTAGCGTAATATTTGTATTTTCAACTAAGTTCTAGCCGTTGTGTTGGCTAATGTCGAATGGTTGTGGTGTCCACCTTGAATTAAGGCAACTCCATTATTTATCCAGTGAACAATTGTTAACAGTGTTCAACTACTACTATCAGAAGCTTTCAATAAAACCTATCCAAATTAAAAAAAAAATGTTAACTGACATACCTTGAGTTCATTTGACTGAGTTGCAATACTTGTTTACATTTTCTCACTACTTGTGTGTGTTAATGTGGCATTCAGATGTTTACTGATATTTAAAAAAAAATAAAAGAAGAACCTTAGCCTGCCACTAGCACCTGTGAGGGAATCAAATGGGAACAGGTGAGGGTGGGATGGACTGGAACAGAAACAAAACGCAGGGATAAAAAAAAATTCTGAAAGGAATCAACACACACTGAAATCTACAATACATTTCTTTATGATTTTAGTGTTTCGTTTTGTTTTATTTTATTTCATAGCCCAATAGTTTTGCGCATCATTTTAATTAAAAGTGTTGCTCAGTGTATTGACAATGACTTTTGTCCACTACCACTTCAAAGCCGAGCTCAGAATCTGTTTAATGGGCTAAGTTATAATCATTTTTGTGTTGMTTAGCTGTGGAGGCCGTTTTAAAATTGCAATGACCAAAAGGTTTTCAGTTGTAGCTGTACTCACAGGTATTCCTAATTGCTAATTATTCCTTTTCAGCAGAAATCTACAATACATTTCTTTATGATTTTAGTGTTTTGTTTTGTTTTATTTTATTTCATAGCCCAGCAGGTTGAAGTTTGACAGGAACAATAAAATAACCTCAAATCATGCCTGTTTCATTTATTAGTTATTACAAGAGCTGCTTTTCATCTAAGTGCTATAAGAGCTACTTAAATAAAAATGCCCTAATTGTCACCTTTTCAAAAGAAATTGGTGCTTAAGTTACATTGCACTAACCAGATGCCAGAACAAGCATAATTTTTTTGTTCTGTTACTTCACCTTTTTAACCACAAGTTTGTATTTTATGACAACACATGAACCAGGTTTCCTGTACTTAATATGAATCAATGGTTTTAAATTAAATATAATCCATTTTTCTTTCATTCAAGTTTCATTCTGAGCTCTTTGGATTGAAAAAAGCAGAAGAGAAAAAAGACTTTATCATACTATGAATTCATAAGTTATTAAACGGGTTTGGATGAGAATACAATTACATCACTTAATTGAGAAGTGTTCAGAAAAAAAAGACTGATAGCAGATAGTCTCAGGTTTTTCATAGTGACACAATCTGTACAGTGAAGGATGGGGGGAGGGGGGGCATCGAAGGATTTGGGCAGAGGATTTTTTCATGTTCATTTGATTAATTTTCAGAGCCAAAGGAGAGAAAAAAAACACTTTATGAAAAGGAAATTGGATTAATATTAGGTTTAATTCTACTCCTGCAGGCTAATGTTTGGCTTAATTTTACATTTCCTAATTTATACACTATGGATTTCTACTTCAAGGTTGAAAAACAAACTGCCTTTTTGAAAAAAGCTAAAACATAACAGTAAGAATTAAAAAAAAACAAAAAAACATAAGCCTTTTTTACACATGCAGCACAGCCTTGAAATTTGCCAGATACCACCCGAAGGAAGCGTGTGTGCAAACACAAATGTCCCAATTAAACAGAACAAATACTAAAGGTTTTACCCCACCAGCTCCCTGCTGGATAACATTAGAATTAGCCAATTTGTAACCCATTGAGCAGGTAACCCATTGTTYTGAACATTCTCAAGTTTATATGTGACAAAAAGGATTCTTAATTAAAGATCACACATCGATGTACCACCTCTTAACCAATATCTTGAAAAAAGGCCATCAGTCTGTAACAGTTTTTTTTTTTGTCACTCCTCCGTTGGACTTTGATAAATGTCTTAATGAGACAGATGTCTACAAAACCAAATGCTTACTTTTAATTGGGGTAATAATTGGGTAATTGAACCTAATTTSCACTATAGTATTATTACACCGGTATAGTAGCTGTCCTGTCTTTTTGAGCTAAAAACAGAACTGTAACGCAGACACACGGAATTTGCAGAGTACAGGCAACTTGTGAAATAAATGCTAATTTTAGATGTGGTCGAAGCAAAAATCTGAATTACTCATTGCTCAGTATTTGCACATACAAGGAATTTGCTTTGGGATCCCAGCGCTACACAAACATTTTAAATTATATTTTAAACAAGCAGTACATCTTTGTCCCCTGTCAATAAAGGATTTGAATGGTGCATGTAGTTTTTGAGAAACTTTTCCTGAACTGGAAGTGAAATAAGAATTTATCTAACTTTAATATTTTTAATGCAAGATGTACAAGTGGGCAGGAGTTAAACTGTGTGTACAAACAGAGGTAATTTATCTGTTATTTTACTTGTCCGAGGTGGCACAGAGTAACATAGGGAGCAATTTTATCCACCACCTGGTGCAATGGTGACTCCAGGGGGTTGCTAATAGTACTCCAGGAAATGTTTTAAGCAATATAAAAACTAAAAAGTATAGTTTCCTCAAATGATGACAGTGGTCAGTTTACAGATACATGGTGGTGGCCATGGATTTTGACATGTAAACCCAGTTTTTGAAATTTTATGCCTAAATGCAGCCACACACTGACATGGAAGTCAGTACCTTCCTAATTTTCAAGTTATTAAGCTCACAAGACAAATGAGCAGATGGCCTGAGAGTATTTCCTAATTCCTCTTTACTCCTCGATGAGGGACAAAAAATTGCTAAGGACTTAACTATTTGGGGTTTTTGTTGTTATTGTTATTTTTTGAGAAAGTATATATATTTTTTTCATTTTAGATATCCAAAATATAAATGAAAACAATATCCCTGTGATTACTGATACAATTCTGAGTATTTTCTCCAAATGTTTACAATATTTATAATTTTCCAGCGCAATTTGAAAAGCAAATTAGATATCAGTCATTGGAATGACGAGCAACAACACCAGGGGGTGGCCATGGCCACCACAGACAAATCTTTGGCCACCCCATTGGCCACCCTGCAGTTCAGACCCCTTCCACAGTGAAAGAACCTTTAGGGGTGTAATAATCCTCCTGAACAGTTGGTGGCAGTGTTTAACAGTTTGAAACATCACCTAGCTCTATCACTGAAGAAATAATGACAAGGATGTGATGGTTTTCTTTATATACAGAAGCTATGCTCATGTAATCTGAYTTATGATGTCAACGTTTTTGAAACCAGAACATAAATGTAAAAAAAAATAAAAATAAACACAACTTCACTAAAAACACAACTAGAAAATGTCCATACATTTTTATCACTAGACTCCCCAGTATTTTTCTCAGCTCACCCAGGATCTCAAAAATTAACATTCAACAAGAACATTTATTTTATGTAAATTTTCAGTTAAAATGCAGCAGAATGCAGGAAATAGCATCTATTTCATTCAAAGTTTTCTGGGAGAGGACCCCCAGACCCCCCCCCAGCAGTGTGTCGCCCCACTTTTAAAATGGTTTACAAGGTAGTCACTCCCTGTATAAGGACACAAGGAAATGACCAAAACACAACGAAAAACTTTCAAGGAAAAAATGTAGTTTTTCTGGCCACCCCATTTGTGAGTGGTGGTCCCAGTCTGGTCACCCCTGGGAAAAAATGTCTGGCTCCGCCACTGAGCAACACAATCACAAATATCTACACATACATTTTGTCATGAGTGGTATGTTTCTAATTTCTTTCCCTGTTTTAGACTTCTAGTTTCTGGTGTTTTCAGTTTGTTTCTGTATTAGTATTTTCTGCCAGTGTTTTCTGTTTTTTAACCCATCTGGATATTTTTGCCACTTGTTCAGCATGTCATTTTTTAATCCATAGCTTCTCAGCTCCTACTTCTCTCCCATACTCACACACCTGTGTCTCATCTGTAAGCAGTACACCTGTTCTCACTCACTAATCACATCCAGCAGATATAAGTTCCTTGTTTTCACTTCCTCAAGTGTAATCCTGTCTCAACTGTGTGGCATAATGAACACTATTTATTATTATTATTATTATTATTATTATTATTATTATTATTATTATTATTATTATTATTATTATTATTATTATTATTATTATTATTATTATTATTATTATTATTATTATTATTATTTGGTAAATGTACTTACCTGCTGCACTGCCTCTGTCCTATTCAACCAAAAACCTTTTGGACAAAAATAAACTTGATGAATTGCTGTTTAAATAACACAGGGAGATTTTGGATGCTGTATCTGCATTGACATTCCAGCCATTCCATTAATTGATTAAACATCCACGGCCAACTAAATTT